CACAGTGTATTCATTAATTTTCATTTTCATGTAGTAAAGGCTCTATGCCTTCATAAAGGACGTACTTTTCCTTTGTTTAAGGGTATTTGGGCAGTTTATTCTCTGTTATATTCTCAAGTAAACAATACATACAAGCACAGTACAGTATTTTCTGAGGAAACACTCGTACTTATTTTTTTAACCCCATTCCCGATAACCCGGCATTTTCACAAACTCGGCCACCCTTCGGTCCACATTAGGCCGAGTTTTCGAGGTTCTACTGTATATAATTTCATTTGAAACAAAAAAAACTAATTATCCAACAAATACTTCAATCTCTCAACTCATTTTTATTCAATATTTAGACATTAGACAGTTAATTGAAGAAAACCATTACTTAGATTTAAATAAATGTGTTATTGGCTATTTCATATTAATATTAATTAATCATAAAAATAAAAGTCTTGCAAATTTGAAAATTATATATACCACTTCTTCCTTTGTTACTTTTTATTAATTAAAAAAAAAAAATGCAAATTAAGACATGAGAAAAAAGAACTAAGAATCTGATTTAATTTTTAAGAGAGAAATAAAACATTAAAATTATATGTAAACAGATAAGCTGTATCTGACTTTGAAACTAATATTTTGTCTACCATTTTTGTTTTTAATTCATTATACAGTCAAAATGTGCATTAATCAAAATATAAATAAAATGAACATTAAATATACATTATATTGTAAAAACTTTACTTTAAGTCTGAATGATTAAATATAAAGAATAAATATATGGAAAACAAACATTTTTTTAAAATGTTGATTTGTTTATGATAATCAGAAGTTTAAAATTTTAATAAACTTGTGTATTTTATTAATAATAACCAAGTAACTTAATTTATGAAGAAAATTTTAAAAATTGATTTATATGCAAATGAACATTATTTTCAATTCATGTACAAAATGTACTACAAGGAAAAATTCTTGTTAAATGTTTTTTTTTTTTTAAATAAATTAAATGTGTTAATTCCAGCTTTTTTTCTACAGCTGTTCCTGTAATTTCCCCATAATTCTAAATTTGTACACAGTATTTTAAAAAACTTATGATTAAACAAATCAAAAAACATTTGAAATAATTCTTTTCACCAAACTGTAGTAAAATCTAAGTTTTAAATTATCAATAGCAAGGTTGCGGGCTGACATTTTCAACATAAAAACGTGTGTCTGACATTCAGCACCACCATTCTGTAATTCTGGAAGTTTGACAATGGTGTTTGGAACATCAGTGGAATCACACTTGACATTCCAAATGCCACTGCCAAACTTTTAAGCTTACAGGATGGTGGCACTGAACATCTGATGTACACATTTTCGCATTGGAAACATAGGCTGCAATCTCACAAATACCAGATCATATTCTGAAATGATACATAAGCATAAAGCAAATGTGTGTTTAATCATTAGCCCTTTCAAATAAAGTATAAATGCATACTTAAGTATTTGTAAAAAATGAATAAATATCATTTAAGTCAATGTACAGTATTTAAAGCTATCACTAAAAGTATTTTTGAAAAGGTTCTAAGTGTACCTAAGTATTTAAAATACTATTTTAAAAATTTTCATTTGGATGCTAGATTCAAATGGTAATTTTTATTCAATTCTGATTATCAAAAATTCTTAAAATTTTTCAATAGTTACAAGCATTAAATGCTAATGTAAACAGATTACATTAATGTGAAATATTTAGAGTATCCAGAACCTTTGTTTATAAATTACATGTAAAATTTTCTAACTTACTTGTGTCCAATCAAATACCAGTTTCTCTCCAGAATAATTATTGTCTCTGAATTTGACAAAAAATTCACAACCTGAAAAATAACGATGTTTAATTTTAGAAAAATAGATTTTACATTAAAAACGTTAACACATCATATATTATTCTAAATGTAAATACAACAAAAATTAAATTAAAAATGCCTGAAAATAAATATGTTTGTAAAGTAAAGAATTGATATTTCAAAAGAAATTACTTAAGAGAACATATCAATTACTATTGTTTTTATTTCTTCATATATGTGATATTTAGAAAGAATTATATCTTGTTCTATACGTATATCCTAGTAATACTTACCTTCTTCATTGTTAATCTCAGTTTACCATTTTATTATAAAAAATTGTCTTCCTGCTTTTTGTAATTATAGGATGATTATAAAGTCTCAATCCAATTTTGTGTAAATGGAAACAAAATCATTTGTTTGCGAGTCATGTAAAGTATGCTGACCCAAGAAAACAATCACTGTTGTTTGCATATGCTTGAGTGGATTTATATACATGGAAGTGCAGTCAAATCCTGTTGTTCCATAACCTTTAAGTAATCACGATACATTGCTTGGCAGGTGGCGTAGTCCACTTTTACATTGCAGTTTCTATAGGTTGAACTGTTTTGTTCGGTATGGTAGGTTTCCCAGACATTGTGCATCATGTACATTACCTGTTTGCCAAATTTGGTAATCAACAGTCTGATATGGGTCCTGATAGAAACAGACTTCCTGAATTTAAAGTTTGTCTGTACTTCTGTGTACATTAATCCACTAAAACATGCAAAACAGCAGCAATTCTGTCTTCTTGGATAGACATATTCATACAACCTGCATATAAATATTTTTGTTACCATTTTCACAAAAGTAGATCAAGAGTTTATAAAATTGTAATGATTACCAGTTAGAATAATCAATGTACTATTGAGTAGGTCTATTGGCTTGTTTAAGATCATTTCTGTATTAGAAAAATGGAAGTTTATATGACCTTCAGAAAAAATGAAATTAAGTTATAGTAAATAGACTACATTTACTTCTGCATCTCATTTTTTCTGAAGGGACAAATCCTTACAATTCTACTATTCACTGTAATGTGACAAAGTTAAAAAAACATTTACTTGAAAATTCATTACAATCATATCAATAACCTAATTTTTAAATATGCACAGTTATAATATAATCCTCATGATTTATTGACTTATAATGAATTAATTGAAATAACTTATGCAAATTAACCAATTTCAAAGATTAAAAAAGAAAAAAAAGAGAGAGAGAGATACTGTACAGGGCAGAAGCACCAAATATTGACAGGATTTTAAAATTACTACTATAATTTATGATTTAATACAACTTTTCTTAACCAAGTTCAATAATCAAATAATATAGAGGAGATAAAGTTCATTAATGATAGGGGTTCCTACTCAAATTTTTGTTTTAAATTCCATGATTTTCCCTGATCAACTTTGTACAAATTCTCTGACCCTCATGTCCCTTACAGTATGGTTGGTTGGATTTGGGGTTTTGTGGCACAAGGGCCTAGGCAAGCCAAAAATACCCAGGTCTAGCCAGCTATGTTTCTGTATGCCCTCTTGAGTCTTTGTTTACAGTATGGTACATTGACAAAATAAAACAACATTTGGCTTACTATGCACATACACTATTGCTCTCCAACTTTTTAATTATATATACAGTCGAGTCTGCGTAAGTCATCATAGGTATAACTACACAGTCTGTTAAGTAGTTAGTATTCTGTGGTCCCAGCCAACTTACATATGCATTAACATTAAAAAAAACTCTGGTTTACTTAACACTGTTTAACTCTTCACCACAGGATAAATTGACATACTTTTTCTGTCCCACACTCATTTAGACATCTGATAAGTCGACTCCCCTCCTGAAAAAAAAATGAGTTCACACCACACAGCTTAATGTCACAGTAGAATCTGATTTTGCATTTTCTCACCTTTCATTCATGCATTATTTGCAGAAGTGTTTCACATTTCTGTTACAAATGAGTATCCAAAAACTTAACAATGGAAAAATATGAACTTTTATCTGAATTTGAGTGTAATAAAACTTTGCAAGCCGAATTTGCAAAACAAGAAAACCTTCAAGAACAACATTATTATTGGTGAAAATTCTGAAGAAAAAGAAGGAAATTAAAAAACTTTCTTGGGTTTTCATTGCAGCTGTCTCTAAAACGCCAGAGAAAGTTGCCGTACAATTATGTCGAAGATGCTCTGGTAAGTTTGCTAAAGCAAATTTGTTCATCAAATCTTCCTGTTTCGGGGCCGATAATGAAACAAAAGCGATGGAAATCGCTGAGATACTTGGAGTAGAAACAAAATTTAGTGCCAGTGATGACTGGTCAGAGATAAATTGCATGTACTGTATAATGCACTACCGTATTTTCATAATTGTAGTTTTGTGGTTTTTTTTCAACTTTGTTTTAGTCATAATATCGGATAACTCAACACATTTCCACTTCCCCTTGGGGTGTCAACTTATGCTGACTCGACTGTATTTTCATAATTGCCAAATTATTAAAACAAAAAATAAAATGTTTTATTAAATTAGTTTATTCTGTTATTAATCCACAACCATAAATCTACATGGCTTTGATAAAAGAAAAAAAAGCCATTATTTATCATTCATTAACAAATCCTGTATAATCCATGTACAGAAGTATATATTTATTAAATTTATCCTTTAATAAATTTCCTGAACTTTATAAAATATTAATCAACTGGAAAAGAATCAAAACTTGTTTTATTACACAATCAAAATTATTAAAATGAAAAATGATAGATAAATAATTTTAATTTAAATGTTATCATTTTTTACTTCGTAAATTTTGGGAGAAATTTTAGGTCCTGAAAATATTCTGCACCCTTTTCATAAGTTGTATTGCACCACGTTACTTCTTGCTGCCTGGATATTGCTACATTTAGTCAAGCATATTGTCAGAAAAAAAATTCAACAAGGCAGTCAAGGAGGCAAATTCCCTGATTTTTCCTGACTTTCCAGGTGCATAGGAACCCTGTAATACTCTTACATTTAATACTGCTTTGCAAATCTTCAGAAAAAATGAAATATTTTACAGTTATTTCTTGTATTGTTTTTGGTTTTTCTTTAACATCTTAATTTCATGTTCAATAAAAATATTTGTCTGTTAACTCATGCAAAGTAAGTTATGCTTTTTTGATTATTCAGTTTAGGAAATTATGCAAAACATGAAAATTAAAAAAATTAAGTTCTTATTCCTACAACATATTTTGATCTTCACAAAATTACAATCTGTTGATTTTCCTAAGTTTAAACTTTTTCTCAGATTCAGCAAGATTATTTTTATATAAAATTTCAGAATAATGTTTAAATTAAATTTTATCACAATTCATGATGTAAATATTGTTTCTTTGATAATTTAAAATGACACTGGGAATTAATTCAATAATCTTTTAATAAGTACACTGATTGTAAAGAAAAATTTCATGAAGCCTAGATGTATTAAGTGGTAACTCTCCATGCATATTTTGTTAAAGCTTTGTGATTTTGTGATTTTAAACATTTGAAAATAGTTCCAAAACAAACTTTGTTTTATAGAAATTGGAATCATTCGATTTCTATTTCTGAAGGTGGTCATTCAAATTGCCGAAAACATTTGAAAACTTAATAAAAAGGTTGCATATTAAAGCTTTTTGTTGAGGTTTGGTTGCTACAAAGTTAATTTTGTGCCTTTTGTCTCATCTGTTATGGCATATTCTCTCTACATTTGAATCATTTTCACAAATTTAAATTTGGATGAATTAGCAAAAATTAACAAAACAGCACAATATACTAAATGCTAGCATTCAAATTTAGTAAGAAATTTACAATACCCCAGACTATATGCAGATAATTAAAATAGTTATTCTACTAGAAATGAATGTTAAGCACTAAATTGAAGGACATTCTATGTTAAAAATTAAAATTTCTCATACAAACTAATAAAAAAGAATGTAGTTAAACCTTACCTGGATAAGGCAAAGATAATATCACAAAGTCACTGTATCTGTTCTCTTTATCCACTTTTTCTGAGGAAGTTACACTAAGAAAAAGAAATTATTAAATTCATCTTAATTATGTGTTATAAAACAAAAAAATTAAATATATTTATGAGATAAAAATTTATATTTTCATTTATATGTACGCTGTTTTTTTTCAATCTCCAATGGTACCAGTACATAAGAAAGACAAATGTAAATAACAAAACGAATTTATTACCGAAAGTTAGGTACAAACATGGTTACTTTTTGGACATAATCACCGTGAAGATTAAGGCATTTGTTATATCTGTGGATGAGCTTTTCCATCCCCTTGTCATAGAGTGTTGCTGACAATAACTTGAGATGAGCCCTAACTTTGAAGATCATCATTAGTCTCAAATCTCTGCCCTCCTAGCCACTTCCTGTTCAGAAAAGAGGTGGAAGTCGCTCGGCACTAAATTGGGGCTATACGCTGGGTATTTAAAGGTGGTGATTCCACCTTTCAGACTTCCACCCAGCTTAACACTTTTTAATGTTTTAGGATTTCCACCTCTTTCCTGAACTGAAAACACAACTAGCAGGGCAGAAGTTTGAGACTAATGGCAATCTTCAAAACAACATTGTTAAGGCCGTCTGTCTCAATTCACTGGCAGCAACAATCTATGACAAGAGGATGGAAAAGCTCATCCACAGATATGACAAATTCCTCAATCTTCACAGTGATTACATTGAAAAGTAACCATGTTTATACCTAACTTTTGGTAATAAATTAATTTTATTACTTACACTTGTTACTTGTTTTATGGACCATCAGAGCTTGAAAAAAAAAAAAAAAACAGCTCTGATAAATGTATTTAATATACTGACAAAAGTTATCTGATAATTTTAAATTCAGTTGATTACAGTTTTGATGAAATGTATGCTTATAAAAATAAAATCAAGAGTCACAGCAGTGACTCCCACCAAGTAAAAAAGTCACTGACTGACTATATTTACATGAATCAAAATTAACAATTTTTGAGAATCGATTTATCCGCCCCAAACGTCTAAAGTAATTCTGAATATCTCATTTGAAAGGTAACTGTTTTCTTTGGTAGTGTGCAAAATTTCAAGATTTTTTATAAAGGGATTGTTGAAATATAAGCTATTTTAAAGGACAAAAATTGCCAAAAAAGCTTATTTTCTGTATCAGTCTGTGCTGATGAAAGTGAGGTGGTGAGTACAACAATCTCTTTGACTAATAATAAAAAGGCATCTGATATAGATGATCTTGTGATAAGAAGACAATCTCAATGATCAAGGATTACATTAAGGATTGTATTGATAGTTTGTGTGCTATTTAGTCCATTGAGGATCAGTGTTTCACTATTGATAACAAGTATTTTTTTGTAATTATATTTGTTTGTATATGACTTTAATTTTCTGATGAAGCTAGTTGTGTCATTGTGTTTGACAGATGTTGCCCTCAACCATAGTGCTCACATGTGGAAACAGACCACAGAAACTGTCGATAAAACAGCAAAATGAATAATTTTGATCTGCTATTCAAAACCACTTATCAAATCCTTCATTAAATGATAAGTCCTCATAATAAAATACAATATTATACACTGATACATTTCATTATCTTCCAATAATTTCAAATAAAATTAACAATGAAATTAACCTCAAAATCTGTTGTATCATCATTAACTCACTCCATAGATCCAATAAGCAGGAAAAATTTATTGAAGTCTTAAAAAATTAAATAATCATGAGAGTAAAATAGTATATTTAAGTCCAAAAAACACTTAATCATGAAAGTAAAATTAAATATAATTCTTTTTACCTTTATATTCTTAATGTTTTATTTTTTTCTTTTTATATTGTCTACTTAGACTTTGTTTATAGATAGGACTTATTATATTGGTAGTTCAGTATAGTTTAATTAGTTTTTGATTAGAAAGGAGAGACTATCTTAGTCCTATTTATAAACAAAGTCAGTAGATAATATAAAAAAAAAAAACAATGAAAGTTTATCCTGTTATTTTATAGAAAATGCTTAAATTGTTTGATTAAAAAGAANAATTCAATAATCTTTTAATAAGTACACTGATTGTAAAGAAAAATTTCATGAAGCCTAGATGTATTAAGTGGTAACTCTCCATGCATATTTTGTTAAAGCTTTGTGATTTTGTGATTTTAAACATTTGAAAATAGTTCCAAAACAAACTTTGTTTTATAGAAATTGGAATCATTCGATTTCTATTTCTGAAGGTGGTCATTCAAATTGCCGAAAACATTTGAAAACTTAATAAAAAGGTTGCATATTAAAGCTTTTTGTTGAGGTTTGGTTGCTACAAAGTTAATTTTGTGCCTTTTGTCTCATCTGTTATGGCATATTCTCTCTACATTTGAATCATTTTCACAAATTTAAATTTGGATGAATTAGCAAAAATTAACAAAACAGCACAATATACTAAATGCTAGCATTCAAATTTAGTAAGAAATTTACAATACCCCAGACTATATGCAGATAATTAAAATAGTTATTCTACTAGAAATGAATGTTAAGCACTAAATTGAAGGACATTCTATGTTAAAAATTAAAATTTCTCATACAAACTAATAAAAAAGAATGTAGTTAAACCTTACCTGGATAAGGCAAAGATAATATCACAAAGTCACTGTATCTGTTCTCTTTATCCACTTTTTCTGAGGAAGTTACACTAAGAAAAAGAAATTATTATTATATGGAAATTCTAATATTTATAATAATAATAACATTATTATAATTAATCAGAAATTATGAATTTTTTCAAAACACACTCACTTCACACCAAACTTCACTTTCTTTTTCTCTACCATCAAATCACAGATATAGCCCACATCAAGTTGTTTCAGTAGCTTTATATCCTGGTTCCGAACTTTTGAGAACAATTGCCATTCACTATAAATATTTAATAATAAAAATTTAGCAAAAAGTAAAAGTAATTGCAGTAATCACTTAAAATGTCAAATTCCAAAATGATGGAATTACTAATGTTATTTAAATTCTTTGGTTAAAACAAATAAGGTAAAATCTTGAAGCAATTAAAATATTAAAGAAAAATTTGATAATTGATAATTATAAAAACATTAAAAAATTTAAACTGGAAGAAATCACTAATCATTTTTCACTTTTTTTATGGAGACACTTTGCAAATTTGTGCTTATGCCAATGATGTGAAATTGAAAAAATAGCAACCCACTTTATCTACAGAGATATTTGATACATCTCACTAAATCAATGGAAATAATGAATTTAAAACAAATTTGGGAAAATTAATCCTTAAAGTGTTTTTCATTACTAAATCCAACATTTTTCTTTCATTATTGACAACTTTTCAATTCAATACCTTATTTTTGCAGACTGACTGGCATCTGGGGAGACCATAAAAATCAGATATTTCCATATGGTAAAAACTGGCATGCCAGTTTAAGTGAAGTTAATACATCCCTCTTTAGAGGATAAATTAAAAAAAATGAACAAGTTATGTCAGGTAAAATCAAATGAATTTTATTTTAAAAACTGTCAGCATTACATCAGAAACTATGATTATATGTTTAATTTCTTGATTTTTGTCTTCTTTCTAATGATGCAAAAAACTTTTGGAATACCAAAAGTGATTTTCTTTTTACATTTATTTTACTGTAATTTGATTCAAAAACTCAAAAACAAACATTCATTTACAGCCAGTTTCAGAAAATTAATCTCAATTTACACTAATTAATATCAGCTTTGTGTGAAATTCTCAAGGAAGGTGTTACTTTTAAGGTCAGGGCACAGCCCATATTGACTAATTTATTACTACTGCTAATGTGAAAAACTCATTGCTTTATTGTCCTTTAAAGGAAAAAACTCTTTAAAATTTGAAGGACTTAAAATCAGGATGATGTTATTTTATTGTACTGGAATAATGTTTTCTTTAACATTTAATTAACAACTAGTTTTGTTACATCTGATTTTATTTTTTGGTTGGTTAAACCAGAATGCTGGTAACCCTGGGGTTTCTGGCATGCCAGTCTCCTCCTGGTTATACGCAGCATGCCGGTCAATCTGCAAAAATACAGTAGGTATTAATGAACTTAGAATTGTTTGATGAGAAATTAACTTTTAATAATTAAAATTTTATCTGTTACACATTGCAATACTGTGGTAGTGACTCCACGGGATTTGTCAAAGTAAATATTAAGAGCTCTTTTTTTTTTTTTACTCATTTTTGGTTTATTGTTGATCATGAGGGTGAAGACCATACTGGAGATCATAATCATCTTTGAAAAAGTAGTATTTTATTTTAAACAAGTAATGTAACCTTCCTTACAGTGAATCCCAATACATTACTTGGTTGTGTTTAATATTACCAGATTTAAGTAGTCTTATGTATTTTGATAGAATTCTGATTAAGTTTTAATGAATTTATCCCAACTTGTAATGTAAATTTGTGTGTATCTATGAGAAATATATTCTGATTCTGGTTGCATAAACAAAAAACAGATTTAGAATTAGATATGTATAATATCTAATTATTGGTTAAATGTCATGCCTAAATCTTTTATATCAAACTAGTAGGTATGTCTGAGACATGGAACATTTGTTACAAACCTTATTTCTGTATTAAATTTTTCTGTAAGCAATATATATACTATTGTATTTAGTATTTTTGTCAGGTTTTTGTTGCAATTATTTTTTGAGAACCAAGTCATCTCAAGCCTTATCCAAAGAAGGCTTTATTGTTGTGAAAACCCAGAATTCAATGAAAAAAATACACAATTTCATCATATCTATTTGGATAACTGTTATAAACTGCTACCTGAAAACTTCTCAGTTTGCACGTTCTTGACAGAGAAAGTGACACATCCCCATGATCCTTTGATCCCCAATCGTGCACTACTGTTTTAATATCTGAACTGACAGCCCAATGAGGCAGTTGTCACCCATTTTTCCATGACACAAGAAGTCCTGCAATAACTAGAGTCATTACCAATTCCTCTACCAATACCTTTAACTCTGTGCCTCCAAAATGAATATATGATTGACTCTGCATACATTCAACTTCAAAAGCTTTTTTTACATCTGTCTACAGCTCAAAAAACACAATATTCCAAAGGAAAGTTTGAGCTGATAAAGTGTACATACATAAGAATTTGACTTTCTGATATATACAAGATTGTATTTCGAGATCGTAAAAAAGTTCATAACAAAAACATTAAGAAATATGTAAAATAATGTATTCAGAGTATAATAATAAACAATATTTAAAGTATAATGTAAGATACTTATGATGTAATTGATCATACAATTAAAATGTCAGGTGTATTTGAAAAATCCAAATTATAAATACACCACACAATATTTGTTTTATATACAGATATAAAGTTTAGATATATTAGAGCATAATTCATACAGGAAAAATGAATTAGTCCAAGACAATTACACACATTAACAAACTTAAATAGGATTTTTTTAAAAAATTCAATTATTTTCAAGTAATACTAGACAAGAATATTAAAAGAAAATTTACATTTTTTTCATTTAGAAAAACATACTAAAAATTTTCAAACAAAATACAAACCTTGCAGTTGGTTGAGTTTTAAGGGTAGACTGGGTTGTAGAATTCATTAACTCATCTTCATTATCTATTGTGCCACTGCCTCCTATAAAAAAAATTTAGTTTTAAGAACAAACATTACAGATCAAAAATGTTTCAGGGAAAAACAAAATTTATAAAAAAGAACATTTCTTTCATACAGTGCATTCAATAAAAATTAAAATTTTTACCAGCAAAGAAATATCCTAGAGCTTCTCTTCCATATATTTCTGCTCCACAAGAAATAGTAGCAGATCGACAAATGTACTAAAAAAGAAAAAAATAATTAACAAATTTAGTAACGAAAAACTTGACATGTTTATACACTTAAAAATTAATGATTAAAATTAATTATACAAAGTTAAACATTCAACAGAATGAGTGTTCTATAAAAAATGTGTTAAATATTGAATACAAGAAAAATTATTTGATTTCATATTTAAAAAATTATTTATCCTGTGAATATCGCTCTCAAAATCTAAAATCATCAAAAAATGTCATCTGAACAAATAATCAACATAATAATAATAGAACAAAAATAACAATCTTATTCTTAAAAAGATAATTCAATATTTTTTTCAATGATTCAATAATAATTTTAACAAAACTGTTTTTAAACTAATTGTATATTTTCAACTGTATAAAAAAAGACCATTATTGAATATCTGTAAGTGTATTAATTTTTGAAACTCAAATTAAATTTCAACTACAACATTTACAAGACATTTAATAAATCTGGAATTTATTGGTTGGTTATTACTGAAAAAAAAATTTCAGTATTCTTTGTCCTACCAATCTGTAACAAGACAAGTTAATTCTATGACAAACAAGTTATAAACTATGCTAATAATATACAGGTAGTTTGAGTGTGAAAGCAGCAAATATGGGGCAAATCAGTCTTAACATTTATACAGAGTTTCCAAAAAGCCACCTACAGATTGAGAAAAGAGCAAGATAGAATCACCTTTTCTGACCAGAAACCAATTTTTGGTAAAGTACTAATTATGGCCAACAAGATAGGTGATCTGAAGAAAAGAGGAAATAACATTTCATCCATTCAACCATTCTGGAGAGATATTTTCCAACAGCTTCCTACAATGGCTGTCAAGAAGAAAAAGGTTATGAGTAACATGATGTTACTGAATAAGAGTTGTGGAACTACAAAAGTATTTTTAAATAATGATTTAGCATTTTTATGGAAAGGATACATGTCCTTAACAATTATATGCACACAATAATGATCATATTTACAATAATTTAATAAAAACTGAGAACAAATGTATCAAATATATGGAGTGTGTCCCTCAGAAACCTGCATTAAATAATGGACTTGTGAGCACAGACAGTATTTTTAAGTTTTCTGAAAAGTTGAAAATATAGATGTGTCCCTTCTGTAATAAGTGTTTCAATTCTTTTTATTTTTCTCATACTGAAATTTTTACAAACAAATAATTAAAATATGCATCTGTTCAATTTGCAAAACTTCAAATCTAAACAGATGTCTTTGTAAATAAATTTCATCTTATGCACATTAATACTGTATTATAAAAATTTATCAAACTTTACTGAAGTTTTTATGTAAATGAATTTCATGTAATGCAGAGAAAACCCAAAAATTAACAAATTTATTTAAATTATTAAGTATGAATTTATCACCTTAAATGATTTAGAATTTAAATGTTCTTCAAAAATAAACATTTTTGAAAAATTTTTTTACAGAAATTTCATATTAAGTTTTACTTGCTTCAAAGTTTGCAAAACCTTATATTTTATGTAAACAATTAACATATTATATTCATAATTATTTGTAGGTGAAATCTATGTAATTTTTCTAAAATATTAGTTTAATTCATATAGCATTTAAATTTAGCTAAATTTAATGAAAGTCTCAACGATTAATTTACTTATTCAAATAATAATAACCATACAAATAATTTTGGGTCAATTTAAAGTCTTTATCCTTTAAGATTCTAACCAGATACAGATGGTTAACAACATGAAGATACAAACAGGTTCTTTGTTAAAAACTGACAATATGTTGTTAAAAAACACACATACATTATACATTTGATGTTGACATTTTCTTTGAGGATCCAACATCAATGACACAGTATTAAAATTTTTCAAATCATCACTCAAGATCTGTTGTATTTATACACATCTGCAGACTCCTAATGGAAATTCAGGAATTTATCTCAATTTGCAGATGTGTATAAATACAACAGATCTTGAGTGATGATTTGAAAAATTTTCACTACTGTGTCATTGATGTTGGATCCTCAAAGAAAATGTCAACATCAAATGTATAATGTATGTGTGTTTTTTAACAACATATTGTCAGTTTTTAACGAAGAATCCGTTTGTATCTTCATGTTGTTAACCATCTGTATCTGGTTAGAATCTTAAAAAAGAATAAAGACTTTGAACTGACCCAAAATTGTTTGCATGGTCATTATTACTTGAATAAATTTAAATGCATTTAATAAAGAGTACATACTTTTTCTTCGTAAGAAATAACTGGTATTGGAAAACGCGTCCTGCAACGAGCACCTCTTGCTTTCATTATTGTCTCTCTCAAAGTGGTTGTTTCCACATCTTCAGTGAATATCTTTGACCTAATGTTAAAAAATTTTAGATTAAATATCAAGATAAAACTATTAATAACAATATATTACTAGTTTTAATGAATTATGAGCTTTATGTCTAATGTCTTGATCAAGAACTATTTATATAAAATCCAAAATTCTTAACATCAAGTTTATTAACTTTATCAAGCTTTTTTTTTTAACAAATCCATTAAGGGTTCAGCCAGGTCCACAATGAGATGGCTGGGTGGTGAGGGATGGAGACTTATCTAGACACACCACCCAAAAAAAATTCCTGGAATTTTTCAATCCATCTGAATTCAATCCTGGGTCACCAGAGTGGAAACTGCTGCCTTAACCAATTGTCCATCCAGATGCCATAATGCTAATATTAACTAAGGTAAATATATCATATCATATTCTGTTCTTAAACTACTTATTATCAAACAATACAGCTTACATATCAAGATTAGAATATGCTACTTAAGACTACTTAATTAACTAGGCTTAACAGCTAATTACAGCCAAATTCTTAAGCTACAATAATGATAAACAAAGCTTAAAAGTTCATTCCAAGCTTTATTACTCATTCCTATTGTATCTAGCAGACAGTGCAGGCATATATTAATAATTTGCAACAGCTTTCATACAATAAATTTTTTGTATTGTAATTTAAAGTTTTGAATAATTCTCTGATCAAAAAGACTGCAATCTAGAAGTTATATTTGCAACCATCAATAAAAAAGATAATTTTTCTGCATTCAACAATTATGTAGGTATAAGTTTAAGCTAGTTGGAAAACAGTACTGATGTCATCCATGCATTCTTATTTGCTGTATATTGTACAGGTAATGCCTTGGCATTGTAGAAACATCAAAGCTCAAATCTATCCAACAAACAGAGCGATAATTATAGATATGTCGTACCAACCTTGTTTAGTTTTGCAGTTATTACTTAAAAATGTAACAAATATTTTTGACCCACTTCTAGGGTCTTCCTCAGGTGTTTTATAAGTTTTTCAGGTGTGATTCCAATTTTTAACCATTCATGTCTCCAATACTTCTATCTTCAGAATTTATTTTTTAAAATTTCAAAATTCAAATCTCCAAACGATGTGTGCGTCTGCACCAGTTGTTATAGCATTATGTCATAAATAGCCCGCTATGCTCTTGATAGTAGTTTTTCTTCTTTAAAAGTGATTGACAGGCCTTTGCAGTCTGCTTTAAAAATTTCTAACACCTCCAGATTTCATAGTTGGTTTATATGTCGAGTTTGTCGAATCACTGTCGCTTGTTGTAGGTTAGGTATAATGCTGTTTTCGTTGCAATATAATCACTAAGGCAGTTTTGCTTTTCTTTTTCTCAATGTCCATTTTGTGCTCATAGAAGCATTGTTTGAGCAATCTTTTTGTAGATCTGACATATACAAGGTCTCTATCAAATCTTTTATCTTTTAACAGGATTTTATATACTCCTGATGTTCTTTCAATTTCAACCCGATCTTTCTTGTTTCTCAACATGGCAAATTTATCCAGTTTACTTCTGTAGGCTATTTTTGCATTAATGTAAGCTCCAATTTCTTGATATAGGGATTGCATAGGGCACTCATATGTTATAGCTATACACTTTTTTTTAGTAGTAACTGCAAAGCTATACAAGGTTAATAAGATGTATCTGTAACATCAAGACTTTAAAAGATTTTCCAATTAATTGTAACATCAAGACTTAAAGATTTTCCAATTAATAATAACAGCAATGTTTTGTTGTCAATTTAGCTCTCAAAAATTACACATTCTTTCCTTTTTTTTACTTTCATGACAAATTATCTTCTATCACTATTGTTTTGTCCAACAGATATTTAAAAAAAAATAAATGTCCATTTCAACAGTGTTGAAAAATCATCTAGGCAACAATTCTGTAAAATTTCTGGTAAATTTTTTAATCACTTTGTGCAACTTTCCTCTTACACTACTGCACTTTATTGAAAATTATTCTACACTTCTTCTTAAACTTATCCAACCACCTGCTTCTTGCTTTGAATCCAGTGTGTCTAACTGTTATCTGAATCAGCTTTTTCACTAAGAAGTTTTTCATCAAGGGAAATATTGTTCACTGCTTTTTGTCCTTAGTTACATTAAATTTTTTTTATAATCCCTAAAATTTAAATAACTAGTTAGGTTATCACACCAATGAACATATAAAATAATTTTTTGTAGTATCTAAATTTACAAAGGAATGAAGGATTTTACAGTTGTAAAACTTATATTTTAAATTTTCAAAAACAACATATGCTAAGATTTTACTGGTCAAATTGATCAACTTTATATACGAATAAAACTGTTACTCTAGGTGTAAAATGTCACTAACATTTTGAATTTTATACCATACATTCATAAGTATAATGTTAATGAAAAAATGTATTATATAAGAGAAACAAAACAAATATTGGGAACAAGACTGAAGGAGTATGAAGTGGCCATTTAGTTAAAATATCATCAGTCTCCAGAGTCCAGTCAAGAGAATGATTGTAAAATTGATGTTGGTAACATTAAAATATGTTTATCTGTGACAGTTTAAAGAGCGTATTGCAATAATACAATGTAAAAATCAGCTAAATTTAAATAATGAAATGGAGATTAATTCCATATATGATATGATATAATAATCAACTATAAAAGAAACTGTAAATGTGAAATGGGGGTAAAAGAAGTTAATCGATACTATGTCGGAAGGTTAGTGTTTTGTATTCTTATATTATTTGTAATTAATACCTTTGTTAATGCATTCTCTTTTAAAAATTTATAGCATGAGGAGGGATTAAGAAAAGTTAATCCAAAATGCATTGCTTATAAAGGAAAATAATAAAATAGCTGTGTTTTTAAAAGGTCTTTGTCTCTCATTTAATAAGGATATTGGAAGAAAAAAGACACGAGGTTTCACTAGCCTTATGTTTAATAACTGAATTTCAACTTTAATCATAGATATAATTCTATATAAACATTGATCTTCAACTTTATAATATTGCATCAACTACAAGGATATCAATATGTCCATTCCCTTAAGAATGCAAAAGAAAGCATGCTAAAATACACAAAATAGTCTCCAGATCTTAAATTTTAAGTTAGCAGAATGCGATCGCAAAACTACTTCAACATATAGAAACAATGCTCTGAGTCTATGAGAGTTAAGTTAGGAGAAAAAGTTAAATTTGAATTAGCAAGAATTGAGTTAAGGAAGCTCAACTTATTAAACAACTACAGTAGACTTAATATCTGTTGAGTCAAGAATGTGACATTGGCCCATTCTGTTTAGTTAATACTGAAGCATATTATTTGACTCTTTTATTAATTGATCTAAAAACTAATCTTATTTAATAGAAAATCTTGCCTTGTTTTAATAATATTTCATATGAAATATAATTTTTAGTAACTTGAAGTTTAAATCATGTGGATACCATTTAGTTTTATAAAAATGATAAAAACACATGTTACAGTAAAAATAAATCTATAAATGTAATTGTTTAATGAAATCTTGTAAGTCATGATATTCCTCTAATCAAATCAGTGAATGGAAAAAAAAATATAAATTGATAAATTAATAATGATACTGATAAAATTCTACATTAACAGTTATTAATTCTTATTTAAATTTTCAATTCGTTAATGCTTTTATAAATTAAATGAAGCTTAAATTTAAGTAAAACAATTAATTTATTATAAAATAATAATTATAATCATAAAATTTAGTCTTCTATAATCCCATCTAGAATAAAAATAACTAATATCAATTGCTTAATATTATATTCAACAATGAGGGAATCAAAACAAAAATATCAATTAACCCATTTATCAAAGTACCTATTAAAATTAATGACACACATTTATTCCATTATTAACATTTTCAAATTACACATATCCAAAATTATTTTACTGAAAATTTATTAATGCAGTAAAATAATCTATGCAAATTTAATCTATGTAGATAAAAAGCAGCAGGTGATAAAATTTTGATTGATGAATCAGTAAATTCGTTAAATCAAAACTTATCGTGTAATCTTTAAATTTAGACTTAACAGGTTTAAATTTAGAGAGTGTTTAACAAAACTGTAATGAAGTTTTACTCATCATATAAAAATTAGATATATTTACTTAATAACAATTACCTAATATGTTGATCTGAAGAATCTGAATGCTGAACTACATTTCTCTGAGGGATAATCAGTTGAGAAGGATATGTATGTGTCAGTTCTCCATTGGAATTATCTATTAGCTGTAAAATAAATTTATTAATTTGTTACAAAATATATAATATATATCTGTTCTTCAATTATACCAGAAAGTCAAGAAAAGCCAACTTTTTATTAAGTTTAACTTAAAAATGGATAACCAATATAAATTTATTAAGCAAGAAATTTACTTTTATTTAATGCAAAGCATATAAACTTTTGAATAATTTGATAACAATTGTTATAAATTTAGAAAAAAACTCATTTTCAAAACATTGTAAAAATTCTTTATTCATTCATCAATTATAAAAAGAATTACTTTCAGAATACTTTTTTTTTTTACAAAAGTAAGACAAATGTTATAATTGTAAAATAGATCTTGTAGACAGATTTATTAAAAGTTCTGCTTCTGAATATCTATAGGAAGTTTTATAAAGAAACGTAGCTTTCGTATGTATAATAACGAATTACCGAATTTGATGAAAATCTTTATCTAATATTAATAACAATAGAGCACACATTGAATAGCTGTTATATCCTAATTTACTTTGCTTACTACCAGCTTGATGAGGACAGAGAGATGGAATTCTTGGCCTATCCTATGCTAAGTGTATCCTAGATTTATATATAAAAGCTACATTTCTTTATAAGGCTTTCTATAGATATTCATCCACAAACCAGATATTTTTAATAAAACCAAACAATCCACCATATTATTGGGCTGTAATAAAGCTAAATTATTAATTAGTTATAAAAAAAATTTCATTAGAGGTAGGCAGTTAGGCCACCACATTGTAATTGTAATAAATTATAATAATTTTTAATAATTAAAATTTCTGAAAGAAAAGTCGACTTGAAGCAGGAATATTAATTATTAATTTAGCTTGGCCCAATAATACAATAGATCGTTTGGCTTTACATAGCTTTATTTATGAAAAGATATCTCAAAACTTCTATAGAGTTCAATAAGTATCTGAAATACTTCAAATACAAATCAATCAATACTTTAAGAACTTTGTGTATAGATTTCATGCAAAATATTTTTGATATTTAAATGATTTCAAAGTCAGATCTGTATTGCCAACTTTCTTACTTTATTAGAAACAAATAGAGCAGCCATTTTTTTAAATATTTACAATGGTAAAGTAATAGAATTTTACTAAAAAAATAATAATAATAAATGCTCCCAAAGGTTAGTTTTGAATGTATTAAAATATTTTATAAATACTTATTTTAAAAGATAAATGAATTACATGACATTTAAAATAGTTGCACAAAAATCAATATATTTCATAATACTATTTTCTATGGTAACAAAGCAATAAACAGAACAGATCATAAAAAGTCAGATTTTCTTTGCTATGTTTTATTAAAAGGAGGTCTTCATAAATAATAATTGCAGTTTTACAAATGCCAATAGCAGCAAAGTCCGATAAAATTAATATAGCTGCAATAATTATTTGTCATATTTAAAACAAATGTAATTAATTAATTGCCTTCTAGTAGAATTATATGAAAGCATAAATTTTACAAATAATTAAAAAATAAGATAATTTAATAAAATAATTATTTCATAATTTTACATACAAGATTTGAAACCACCGAATTTGCCTAACATTCCTTATCTTAACCAACTAAGCACCACAGAGTTGTCTTTTTTGAAATTATTAATGAATCTCACATTTTTAAGATATCTTTGACTGCCAAAATTCTTTTTTCAACAGCAGAAATACAAATCTAAGCAGTTCTCAAAGGAAATTTATCCTTTCAGTATATTCAAAAAGAACCACAAAAGAACCTAAATTCAAATTTTTTGAACACATTTGTTCCAAAAAAGAACATTTTCTTACATGAAATTTTAAAACCAAATATATTTGTGTTTCTGCCCCTGAAAATGGACTTCGACAGACCAAAAATGCTTAAAAATGTGAAATTTGTTAACTATTCCAATAAAATAGGCTTTTGTTTAACTTTAAGAATTGAGTTTTCTTGGATTTTAAAACAAAAAAATTAATAAATATACTGTTGAATTGATTCTTCAATTAGTTATTACGAAAACGAAGACATATTTTAGTGCACATTTATCAAATGTAAAAAAAAAAAAACAAACAAAACTAATACTTACAAATACTTTATAATCCTTTGCAAATAATTCTTCACATTTTTTCTCTATAGAGACAACCTAAAAAATTAATTTCAAAGTTATAATTGAATTAAAATGTAATCTTAATATAAATATATTTTGGTTAATGTTACCTATGGTAGCGAAATATGGCGCTTTCGGTAATCTCGAATAAGGTTATCTAGTGACAAAGTTCATAGAGGGTGCTGTGAAATGAATGATCGCGAATTAGGCACTTTTTTTTTTTTGCTAATGCAGTTTTTTTTCGTATCTTGCCATTCTGAGATACTGAAACTTTGAAGTTATAGAAGATTTCGTTTTTTTTATAAGTTAAGTAACAATTTCTTATTGAGTTTAATTTATAAACAATAATTCAGAGAAAAGCTAAAAAATAATCGATTTAAGCATTTTTTAAATTTTTTTTTAAATTTTTTGTAAAAATAATTAACAATGACTAATTTCGATATTGAGTCTGACGATTTCTGGAAGAAGTGCACCGGCCATCAATTTTATCAAATGCTTGAGTCTGACTATTTGGAAATAGGTTTAAACCCAAGAATAAATAGTGGTTTTAAATTTGTGGCAAAGTTAGGCCTACAACATACCAAGGAATTTTGCAGTAAATGTGCCAAAACGTGCAAATTGTATTATTGGACTCACAAAACAGTAAATCGCTCAGAAAACTTTGTAAACCCAAATACATAAGTTCATACACAAAACATTGAAAGACTATGGGGATATTTAAAAAACAAAAAGAATTTGCCAAAGCATTATACAGAAGATCTATCAGACACCTATATGTATGCCTTTATGTATAAAAAGTTTAAAAAATGTGGCCATTAATAACTCCAGGAGAGAAATTCCACATAATTTTATTAAGCACTTGAGCACGATATATCCAGGTTCTGGAAAACCACCCGCATGGAAAGAACCCAAGACCATTCCCCTGCCAGTCCAGCATCTAATCCCAAGGCGAAAGTAAAAAAAAAAATCAAAACAGAAAAAAAAAATAGCAATAAAACAGACAAAATTCTTAAAAGAAATAAAAAAAAACGCCTTCATGTACTGGTGAGTTGTCGTCACTAGAAAGAAAACGTTGGAAAAAGGAAAATGCTCATCAATAAAAAGTAAATAATTTTTGATTTTACCGCTAATTACTAAAAGTAATTTTATTATTACTGCTAATTAGGCAATGCTTTCTCGCGGCGGTGGTGCCACCACTGCCATGAGAAAGCGTGTGCATGCACAAACAAGATGGCAACAGGAAGCGCCGCCATAGTTTGATACCATAGGTAACATTAACCTATATTTTTAATATAGATGAACAGAACATTTCAAAAATTCTACATTAAATACATAATATACCGTTATACAGCTTCAAACTAGAATTATTTTTGTAATTTCTTAGCTAAAAAATAATAATAAATAAATAAATATTTAACTCCCTCAATAAGTGACTCAGTATTTAAGTTCTTTCTTACATACTGAGTCACAAGAGTGACATTCACCTCATGTTAAAAACAACATAAAATGTAAATAATACAAAAAAAATTTGCTTGCTTAGTAGATAAATATTATGTTTATCCATATACATACTAAAGAAAATATTTACATACTTAAGATTTAGATTTCTCATACATTATTTAAATAATGCAAGATGGAGGACATGTTAAAGCAATTTACATTCATGGATTTTACAAACTACAAAAACCATCTCTACACAGGAGTTATTAAGCTTCAAACTGGATAAAGAAAATCATGCTCCATACACACAAACAAACATTCATATATACTGAAGGAACTCACATATTGTTTTTTGCATTTCTTAACATTCAAGGTCCTGACTCCAAAAATGTAAAAATCTTAAAGGGCCATTTTTTTCACTGATTGCCATACTTTTCCTCTGTTATATTTGTACATAAGAGCCAAGAGAGCAAAAATGATGTGTAAATATTTTACAAAATGAAGTGTGATGTAACGATTATTGTGCCAAAATTTAAAAACAGACACAGCCTGTCTAAACTATACATTTTTTTTTGGCAACATGTTAAAGAAATAATACATATTGCAAAGTATAAGACAAGTATGGTTATTAGAATTGTTAGAGCATACACTAAAGTATTTTACTATAAATCCATGGTAAATATATAAATCTATACTAATATTATAAAGAGGTAATGTTTGTATGTAAGTTTGTTTGCAGCAGGTAATCTCCGAAACTATTCATCCAATTTCAAAAATTCTTTCACCAATATTTAGAATGGAACCTCAGGGTGGACATAGGCTGTATATTATTCCATTAAACATTCATATAAATTAAATGATATCATCTAGGGTTAAGGCTTTTATGTCCAACAGATAGCGCTATGAGTACGACGCCCTAAGTTTGCTTTTCTGTGAGGCATTATGCTTTTCTGTGAAAATGAACTAAAGCAGATCATCTTCTATCTATTTATATAAATAAAAATGTAATGTTCGTTTGTTCCTACCAATTCCTTTGAAATTTTGACACAACGCTGCATTCAAATACGCACGTGTTTTCATATAATATACATGTCGAAATCCCCCCCCAGGAGATGGTTAGGATTAAGGCTTACCGTAAATAACTCTGCTTCTATTTATACTATTTTAGATGCAGTTTTTTGCGTTTTTGATTGCGTTTTAATAGGGTACGTCAAGAGAATGTACACTAAGAAGAAATTTTTCAAAAAATCCCCCCACGGAGGAAGTGTTATAAATTTATAATAGATACATTTTGAGCCACAACAATGCGTGGCAAGGTCTGCTAGTATATATATATATATATGATTTTTAATTAGGTGGATGGGCAAACTAAATTTTTAAATTTTTACAAAACCAGATTAGATAGATTTATTATAGATTAAACAAATATATAATGAAATCCAGTATGTAAAAATTTAAAAATTTAGTTTGCCCATCCACCTAATTAAAAATTTGTGATGACAATCTTAACCTATAACTACATTTTCTTTTACTATTTTGCATCGCACAATAAATTCTTACTTGACAATTACTGTATAGCTTATTACAACAGTAAGTTTTTCTAGTACATTTTCTATATTTTCTAAAAAATTGATAAAATGAGTGATCAAACTAATACTAAAACAAGTAAAACACCAAAGCTATTTTTGGGACAAGACTAGATCTCCGAGATTCAGGGCTCAACTGCGCACCATTTTCTAAGGAAAAGAGAAAAAATGAGCAGTCTCCAATGAGGAAAAGTTGACACCATGGTCACAACAGGTTACATTGTCACAAGCCTGTTCTTGGCTACAGTAAGAGGGATCACTTTGACACTCATGGTGGGTCTTGTTCTCATTCTCCAGTCTTCTTTGGTATTGCTGGTTTTGAGCATGATCATTCAAACTTCGCAAGTCACGGCCATGAGGTCGTCCACAATGCATTTTCAGTGAAATTAACCTACTTAATGTCAAAATTTCTCTCCAGTGTGTGTTACCCTGGATGAATTTTTGTCGATGCCTAACGAAAATTTCCTGTTTTTAAAAAAAATTATCATGGCTATTGTATCGTCTGAAATTTTTTTATTTTGCACAAACAAAATAAATATATTAATAAATGTAAAAACAAAAAATTATATTTCGGTAATTAGTTTTAATATAAAATTATAACAACTAACACCATCTAGTTTCAAAAACATTCCGATGTTGAAACGAGATATCTCGGGTCAACCAGTCAAGGTCAGCAGGTCATGACCAGAGATGTCAAGAATAACATGGGACAGGTAGATGGGTTTTATTCAAAGATTCATTTGTCAAAATTCAATTTTGCAACGTTTGCATTTCCAACTTCCCAATGAGCAACGCATGCACAAATGCCTCACTAGTGCCTGTTTGTAAAAAGTGTCACAATTTGGTATTTTATTTTGATTCAGTTCTCAGTCCCCTGACTATCTACAAGTCTGGTTTATTTTGTGTGTGCATGATTTGGGCACCAAACACTCTATGACAAATTGCAACTCCTGACATGTCTTTCATACCTCTAAGGTGATAGATAAGCCATTGACAGCACCGCAATTTTATAAACAAGACAGTCTTGTCAATAAAACAAACATATACCAAAATTATTAGCCCAACCAACTTAAAAATTACAATTCACAATTAAATTATGAACTAAAATATGATGAATTTTTTAGGATGATTTTAATATCAGACCTGCTTCTAAGCAAAAATGTCATTAATTTACTTAATGTATACCTTATGTTCAAACTCAATCAGCTATACTCATAGAATTTGACTCTAACAAGTAAGCCACCAATAATATTTTCTATACAACTGAAGGACGACTCCTGCAACAAGCAATGTTATTTTTTTATATTTTGAGCCTCAGTACCTTTCTTGCCATATAAAAATATCTCATCAAATTTATATTAAAATTTGTAAAATCTACAATTAACCAGTAACTGGCGTGAAATTCTTTAAAATCGGCAAACGTTTTCGATTCCCCTCCTGGGATCTTCTTCAGGCTTACTTTTTATACCTTTCGTTATAACTGGATTCTTTAATTCGAATGTTTTTTAAAAAATATGGAACGTGCCATTTTTCGAAAAAATTTCCGAAAGTGGAAGGAATCCACGTGTTATTCCAAACATAATTTTCTACCAGTGGGGATTCGTTATATACAACCCGGTGTGGTGAGAAAGTACATTAATCAAGAGACCACTGCTTACAAGTGCAATGAAACAAAAGAGAATTACATAGTGTAGAAAATATAAAGATAGGGACATTAATAAGTGGAAAAAAGTAATGTTTAGTGACAAATCAAGATTTTGTGTATTTAAGGGTAAAAATTCAAAGGTATTGGAGGGGAAAAAAGCAGAGAAATAATTGCTGAATATTACTTTTCTGATGGTAAATTCATTTATCAACAAGATGGTGAACATGCCCATAAAGCCAAGAAAACAAAAATAATATTTTGAAAACACGGGTATAGAGTATTAGATTTGTCTGGCGATTCACCAGATATTAATCCCATAAAAATAAAAAAAACCATGGGATAAGGTGAAGAAATAACTGAAAACA